AGATRGTTAATTGTCAGTCCACCATGTCAGATAGCATTCTTTATCGACAACAGACTTTAGTAATTTCTTCTTATCGTTGTTTTTCTTAGTGCTACAGATGGTTATTTCTCTGAATCTTTTCAACTGTAGATTTACGATAACAGTCTGCAAAGTCCACCTCGATTGTTATCGGGATTATTACCAAGAAAAGCTGTCGGATCTATCTTTCTACGGCACAAAATATTGGCTCGCAAACGAGTTCTTAATACGAAACGTGGTTTACATTCTTAGTATTTCACGTATTTCTGGTTTTACAAAGGGAAATTGCGAGTCACGAATCAGAGAAATTCCTTTTTTTCAAATTTTGTTTTCATTGTACGAATATTAACGCTCTCTTCTTTTAAACATGAAAATAATGTAACGGTTTGTTTTATGAGCTTTTCAGATTATGTAGCGAAGCCGAGGGCAAAGAAGATATGCAAAATGCATAAAGGAATTTTGTGAAAACTGATCGAAATCAGTAAACAACAAATGAGATTCATGACAAAAAAAAGGATAGAAACGCTCTCTTGAAAACCTTCAGGGAATAAAATATGAATTATATGGAAGAGAGATGAGCATTCAAACAGTACGAAAATAAATTCAATCACATTCTACTACCTATTCTGTGTTCATCCTATTTGTGTTGATCATATCTGGAGTTTTCTCCATGAAGATCAGGGTACCCTAAACTAAAATCAGTTTAACATGAATTTTTGGCCACAAAAAACATCAATTCGATGTTCTAACATAATGATCTATCTATATCACTTTTTATAACATGTACTAGCTTGAAGACTCAATGTTGTTGACATTAACTGGTAAGAAAAGTGCATTTAAAGCAATACAGGCATTGGCAATCGACCAATGCATTAATGTCCAATACAACCCATTTAACTGTTTATTGTCTATATTTATTTGAATAGGTTTTTAATAAAAAGCGGATTCAAAGATTAAAAGAAAAAGAACATCTACCGAAATTGTTTTTAAACAAATATTGAGACATTTTCAGCTCAAGTTGGCAATTACCTACTATTTTGCGWCTAGTTTGATTGTGAAGAAAACTGCTCTCGAAAAAATCAATCAAGTGCGTATATTTTTAGWTTGTCTTCTAATATCGCGTCGTAAAATAATTTTTTATGCATACATATTATTATTTTTTTCTTGTCTGCCATTCAAATGAAAGAGATATTTTTATAAGTGCAATTTGTTATTTTCATTTGACGCAGTTTTAATTATTATTGTGGGAGGCACCAGAACTGAAGATATATTACAGCAATAWWATCAAGTTAAGGTCCTTTTCGATATTGTAGTTTTGAATTACAAAATGACGGACRCTCAATGAAGGTTACTCGGCGTGTGGATTGAGTCATTCCGTGCAGTGTGCATATATTGTGTTTTGTATTTGTTTTGCCTAGTCTTTAAAGTGTTTCCGAGCAAACACACTTGCTACCTACACGACGATGAAGACGCATATCCTCTCTACAGCACTAGGAAATTAACAACAATATCTCTCCCACTTGAGGTGAAATTAGGAGGAAAATACAATGATTTGAACAGCAAAGGGGACTGCTTGGTCTATCAAAAACTTTCTCGTAAACTTCAACAGTTTTTACTTGAAACTACAGCAATAAAAATCTCTTKACTATGAATGGGAAATATGACAATTACTTCATGTGGGATTTCGTAAAAGAGGCAAAGAAAAAGAAAAAAAGCCTTAATGCAAAAAGCGAAWTCCTTTTACTTGAAATGACACTACAATAATAATTAGGAAACTCTAAAAGGGAGGGAATGATATTACCGGTCAACCGATAGATGACATAATGGTTCTTAAAACAAAAATAAATAAATAACAGCRACAAACTACGCACTGAAATCCATATTAAAATAAACATACAGAAAACATATGYGYATTCATTGAAGTCCTCKAAAATGCTGTAAAGATAGATGCATTTAATTTGCTAATAATAAAACTGATGACTTCAGATGATGTATTTGAGMACCAAAAGCATTAATGTCAAAAGAAACAAATATCTTAGAATCAGAATTATCGAAATGCTTACGTAGCTTTTAAGCCAAGTAATTAGCTAAACCRAGGGCGTGGCACATTAGATTAATGATTTGGCGCGTTGTTCGACGTTGTCTTTTTTGTGTTCGCCTTGATTTACCGTTCGGAATAATGTTTCAATTTTGTAAACAAGTAATGGAAGCATCGATCAGATCGTAATTTGTGATATTTACCTTTAGATAGCGCACGTGCAAAATGACAATCAAATGGTTTAAAAAACAGGAAACAGTTGTTGGTTGTGTTAGCTTGTGATAAAATATTACWCTGATATCTACGATATCAGCTTGTTAAATGTAGGATAACTTTTGCAGTTCTTAGACTAATTTCATTCATTTTCACGACAGTGAAAAAGTGGTGCATTAATGTTCGTGACACTGAGGTGTTCGTAGCATTGAGATGTTCGTAATATAGAGATCTAAGGGAAATACAAGTGGTCGTAAACCTGATATGGAAAAATAAGATTAACGAATGATTTGAAATTTGCATGAAGTTCAAGTTTTCATATTTTTATCAAACTAACTTTGTTTTACAAATATTGGCTTTGAATACATCTGAGTATACATAGGATAAGTACAAGTCCAGGAAGGAACGGACTATCGCTGCCGCATGGAGTCGTCAAAGAGGAAGCCAAGTTGTCAAAAAGTGCGACATTCGAAGGCTGATCGATATCAGTTTTTATTTTTTTTTTTTTTATGAAGAAAAAGCTTTTAAGCATTTTAAAAATACCTACTACAGCTACATGTTATGAATACATCTATTATTAGTGCGCGTGCGTGTTGAATAAGCTCTGTTTTTCACATTGTCTCGATAACCTCTATTTTTAAAGCTATATAATGGTCAGCTATAGCAAAAAGGTGAAAATGCTGGAGGAAATGTGTTCCGGACACAAAGTGCTATAACTTTTTCCTGTAACCAAACACCATTTTTGAAAGCTGATATAATGAATTGAAGATTTACAAAAGGGCGATCAAAGTAAGTGCCCAAAGGCATTGAAAACCAAACCAGGTGTGGAACCATACATAAGAGAAAATTTCATGAAAACAAAGACAATAACCACAAATAAATGAGCTGGTGATTTTAAGAGTGACGCTTTTTTAAAAACATACCGCCCCCAATCCAAGCGAGTATGCAAAAAATCATTCATTGAAATTTTTTTTCCCCGAAAATTGAAGGAGACGAAAGAGAAAAAAATAGTTTTGCGTATGTTTGTAACAAATAGAAATAATTGAGAATGTATTATACTAGTACCAAAATATGATATTCTATAAAGATGAAATTATAATAATATATTTCAGTTGATTACATAAAAAAGATTAATCAAAGAAACAAATACAGTAAATGCAATAAAAAGAAAGAAAATCGTGATAAAAAAGTCATCCTTCCTGGAATCGAACATGTAGCGATCGTTTCAAATCGATTCAATMAGCGATTTCCAGCATAGACAAGACCACAACGATCATTTACCTCTTGATCGACACTTTCATCGAATAGACTACCCGGGATTTGACATTATATTTTCGATAATTGCCTGGTTAGTGCAAGGGGTTAATCATCTATGGTATAGGGGCCGATTAGATTCTCCCTCACTGGCTTTTTAACTAGCGCAAAGTTAGGACCAATTATCGGGATTGATTGTTTTGATGATCGACGTTGGAGGAATGAACAATACTAATGAGAAATCCTTTGTTGAAGTCCATCCAAGATGGTTGCTTTGACGTATATTGAAAAAGAAGAATACCATGGAAGAGCCGAAATCTCTAATAATCGGAATAAAAATCGACGATTCGACTTCACAGAATATCTCGGGGGAATCGTCCATCTTTTTTTGATTTTTTGAAGCAAAGTGTTCGAATCAAAATATTGACAAAACATTGTTAATAAAACGTGCGCCTTTACTTTCCATGACATCGGAGACCATTAGAAATGTATTACATCTGAACTATTAATTTAACAATGAGCTTCAAAAAATATTGACAAAACACTAAAAAAATGTCTGGAAAATTATCAATGTTTTCTGTGGTTTTAAGCAAATGACTTTTTAAGTGACTTAATTGTAATGGTGTCGTTAAACTATAAGCGGGGGTTCCCTTTTCGTCCAAGTAGGATTACATAATACCTAGCAGTTTGTTCGCCGCGTTGGTCTTTATAAGTAATTTATCTCGGGGACGGTTATGCGACCAATATCCCTGATATACATTAATGATACTCGCTGCTACTTCTCTATAAGCGGGCATTAATCATAAATAATCAATATGCAAACGTTAATATATCTTTTTTCGTTTCTTTTTTTACCTTTTTCATGCTTCCATGTGTTATTATATGTCATGTGTTTTGGGATACCTGTGTAAGAGAGATATATATATAATATATATATATATCTATTATTGTATGTCCCACATAAACTCTTGGAGTACGGATCTATCTGTGTGTAATTTGTTTTACTGTCGTCTTTATAAGAACATTGTACAACCATTTTTGCATAGCTACCATTGAAGAAATGTTGTCAGGTTCAAACCGTTATCGAACTATGACCGAAGGGAATTTTGGGCACTTGGAAATTTGGAAATGCATAAGCACTATCAATATTTCTCATAGAGGAGTGTTTTGGAAATCAAGCAGAAATTATTCACGACTTTCTATACTCAGGTCCAGTGACCACGAACAAAGCATTGAACCGAGGCGTCAAAGTAAAGTGAGCGTTAAAGAAATGATCTGTGATCAATGYACCTCGATGCCTTGCTTCAATGCTTTGTTCATGGTCGCTGGACCCGAGTACGGAAAGCCGTGAATATTCACCATTTGCCTTCCCATACTCCCTTTCGGTCTTAGTTCTAATGATGTAGCCTTTATCTGACAAAGGTTTTTCAATTAGTTGTATCTATTGTTGTTAAATCGTTATTGTATTATGTTATAGGTGCCCACAGAGCACGAGTCAGCGTCGTGCGCATGCTCATAATGGTGGTCGTTGTTTTTGCACTTTGCTGGCTTCCATATCACGCAGTTTTTCTCGATCCAGGCGAAATAGACCAAACTAAACTTTATGCTGTCTATTTTGGGATATGGCTGGCTTCAGCGAACAGTTCATTCAATCCCATCATTTACGCCGTATTCAATCTAAACTATAGAAGAGAATTTGCACGTATTTTAACGTGCGGGACAATTAACGTAGGGAAATACCTTGGATGGGACACATCTACGGATGACCCAAGGACGCACGTAAGTATTCGAAAATCGCATCCAATGGAGAAAATGCCTAATAAAAATGGAGAAAATATGAACCTAGTTGACGATGGCAAGCTTTGCCGAGGCATTCGGAAGCAAGAGTTGAATGGAAACAACTTAATTGAGAATGAAAGATCGTCGTTACCAAAACACGACGAAGAACAGAACAAATATATTGCAGAAAATTAAATGATTGATAAACGTAACGGCTCTAACGCGTAATCGTAGCGTAGCTAGGGTATGGACCTATACGGTGAATCCATAACGCACACGTAATCCTAAYGTAGTCCCGTAACGTAGTCCTAACCTCAGTGGCGAATTCAGAACGTTACCGAGGAGGAGAGAGATTTGGGGCTGTGGAAAATGAAACTTTGTTCAGATCGACGAGCTCTAGTGTAGTTGTTTTTCACAATGATACCCATTCAGTATTAATTTCTCAGTTCTTTTATTCATGTATATCATGCTTTCTATTTCTATATTTATGAGCCCTAAAAAGGGAGTAGAATCACCCCCTGGATCTGCACTTGAACCTGACAGTAAATAAATCTCACGTCGTCGTTGCCTATAACCTAAAGTACTATCGCCTTAGTTTTGGTCTGTGCAACAGAACGTATYAGTCTTACGATTTAAGGCGGTGTATCATATAAACTCGCACGCAAAGCTTATTTAAAAACGTTCACTTAAGTGGAGGAAGGGGTGGGGCGAAATCCCTCCCCCTAGCCTTCTTGACACAAGTCTTATAATATGAAGTGTACGAACAATGATAAACTGTTAGCTTTTGATTGAATTCAAAATTTAAATGACACCTAAATACCATACATAAGTGTACCTCTTTCATACTGTACAATTAATTCTAAAAATCTGGGATTGTTGGAGTGATTTTCATCAGTAAACTCGAGAAATAAAATAAAAACTGTGTTCATTTTTCCTTGAAGAAGGCTCAATGCTTTGTTCACTTAAACCTGGATATGCAAAGTCATGAATGTTATCTTTTGTTCATCATTTTAGAAAAACAAAATATATTTTTTCCTTACTGCTATGCTTATGATTGTAGCTGTGCTTATGTGCAATGCGTTAGTGAAAACACATCCATAGATTTTCATTGGTTAGTTCTCTTTATAGTAAAGCTCATTCTTATCGTTATGCTTGTACACCTTAATATGTGTACTGTATGTGTACCAGTAGAGCTACTACTAGACTAACTCCTCCCCCCACCCCCACCCCCCACTGATTACCTTGTTTGTAGATGGTAAAACAAAGAGTTGTGTATGAGTCACAAACACTCCCCTTTTGTGCAAATCCCTCGAAATTACAACAGTATAAAGATGATACAAAATACAATACATGTTCAAGATGTTTCGATCTTCTCTTCTAATATCGAACGCGCCTCATAGTGACACATTGCGGATGTTTAAACATGGCCGTCGATGTCAATGGAAAATACATGCGAGCTTTCCCGGCCAAATGATCTCGAAACACCAGCCAGAACACATGACATTATTCGCAAGCTTTCTCGATGTTGATATCGAATTTACAAAACTACAAACAACGTATAAAGAGAAGTTTCTTCGTGCATCGTGTTGCCACTAAGCTATGGATGTTTCAAATATGTTGACGTTCAACGTTCAACTTCTTCGAGCTGGTTCAACAATTCTCATCACCACAGTCATCGCCATATCCAATATACAACGGGATTTTTAAACTCTTAGTAGTGAATAAGTGTATAATTTAACCGGCTTACCTTTTCCGTTAGGTTAAAATTCAAGCTGCATTCCAACGATAAAATGCCAACACCACTTGAGTCCTTTCACAAAGAAACCTTCATTACTTTGTGTTAGATACAATATAACACAGCATTTCATCGTCTTGCATGTAAGCAAACGTCAATTATATCGAAGCGTAGTAATTTAAGCTCTTACCGTAGATTGTTAGCAAAGGTTTTCATCTTTTCTGTTGAGGGACGTGTAGTCGCAGCTGSCTGCCGTTTTGAAACACGCGCTCTAATTCATGAAMGTTTTCGCGCGCTTGACACAAATGACGTCACAGCTCCCATAAATTAAAGATGGCGGCAGTACCCGCAGTATAAATATAACCCGCGGGAATTAAATACCGCAGCAAATCAAACGGTTTACGAGGAACATGGAGACGTTGCATAGCCTAAAGTATTTATTTGTGTAAATCCCTTTAAATCGAACCTATATATTACAATAACATATCAGTTATTTAACTAGAAATATACCCAAGATTACATCAAACTTATATTCATATAGTAGTCTCCATAAACCCGTGAACAATGTGTATTAATTTGACAATAATAAATAATACATTAACAATATATACGATACAAAGACAGTATATAGAAAATAATAGAATGAAATTAATAATTGTTCACTTAATTTTGGAGGGTAGTTAAAGTTTTTGAAGGGTATAATGCGACCTAATAAACATCACATATACCTTCTCCCATAACTCTCTCAGTTCTTGATTTTGATATATAATATGATCACTGCCACGGATTATGAAAACTACCAAATGAATATCTGTTTAAACCAATCTAGGAGGTCCCTATTAACAAACCAGGTACATTCAGTGCAAGCGCAAGGCTGGTTTGATGGTCAAGGATCCTCAAGGTTTATTTCTCTGGGTAAACAGATAGGCTGGTTCCATAGGACCAATTGGTGAACCCCCCCCTGAGTCTTTGTGGTTTGATGTCAAAAGGGTGAAAAATATTAGCTTCCAGTGACCCTGCCCTGAATATCGCAGGTCATTTTTGCAGGTCATCTGCAACAGAAGCTATGAAAAGAAGAGAAATGACATTCAACGAGTCTTGGGTTTGGTTATTAAGAGTTAGTTACTCACTGATTTGAGATTGCCATAATATGGCAATATATACTGTCTATACTGATTTCGATTTGCATTGATAGTCATTTTAAGCAATACAAATTTTGAACCTGCAATTATCATTCCTTATGCGCTCAGTTCAACAATTTTTGACAATGAATGTCATTGAAATATGTATATTCAGTCTTGGCTCAAAATAGCCTCTATTTACAACTACTGTACGGGAACAGTGTTCATTATCCTTCTCTTTAGCTGATGCTATTTCATCTTGTGTTACAATTTCTGGGGAAAAATTGAATTTGATGGATTCTAACATTAAAGAATACTTGAATCCCAGTGGATATTGTGTAAGGACAGAGGAATGCTGGTGTAGCTGGAAATTGGTGACTAACACCACTTCCGTTTTCCCAAGCATCCAAAGCCGTCACTTAAAAATTCCTGGATTTCCGAGTAGTCTCCCTTGCAGCTGTTATCAGTGTCACCCAACACTAGTGTAAGACTGACAACTACTGCAATGGAGAATAATTATGAATATTAATAAAAAAGGATAATTCTACAAAGCTCAAGTAGAACAAAGAGCTGGTTATATAACCACCTTGCACTATTTCAACTTTGATCACAAGACTTTTTGTGCAAATAGAAAGTAAAATTTGTTAGAATCTAATATAAATATTAAATTAGTGGGTTTTTGCTATCTAATTGTCGCCAGTCTTCCTCGTCTTTGAGAATGTGCTGGTTGTCCATGACCTGATGAAAGATCATAAGTCATTATCTTTAGTGTTTGCAAGGGCAGATGCCAAATTGGTCAGGGGGATAGGGTTAAATTATGGTGTCCATAATAAATACATTTGTCATTCAGGGGTGTCTAGTTGCTATAAGAAGACCCCCTGGAACCACTCCTGATATAACAATAACAATGATAACATACCAAAATAGCTATCAACTTCATCAGCATCATCACTGTTTGGCGAAATTCCCCGTGTATCACCATGGTGACCACTATGTGAAGCTGGTAGGTCACTACCTGGCGGACCAGCTGATATCGACATACTAACACCAGTTATACCACCAAGGTCTAATGGTTGTCGATTTGTACCCAAGACACCTCGACTGTGATTKACATTATTTAGAGGTGTTGATAATCGTCGATTGTTAGTATTGGCATTTGGAGTGTCAGTCTTGAAATAAAATATTCACACTTATTAAAGTATATGTATCATAATAAT